AGCGCCCCTCTCCCCTCCCCCCCATTTTGTTAACAAGTAACAAATGACGTATAGTTTTTGTTGTGTACTATTAAATTTGTGCATTGTTTTAGTTTGTGTACTCGTTAAGTTTGCAAAAAAATTACAAGTACTAACGGTGCTGTGATTTAAACTTTAGGATTAACCTTTTATGTCGATAAACAGCTTATGTTGTTGTTTACGTGCAGATGATGTATTATAAAAATGATCATGTCAGGCCACGATGTGGGAAAAATTAAATAAGCATCCCCCATACAATACAGCTCATGTACTACACTTTATGAGAGAGCTCAGTCGTAATCAGTAGCTTATTATAAGGATTGGCTCACTGGACTCGTGGATTGAGTACTCTGGGTCAAGGCACTTGTCTGAGTCTCAGGTGTACAAAAAAAGCTTAACTAGTCTACATACGAGCCAAGTGGCCTGTCAGACTGGTGTTTATCTCTAGCTTCTGTAGCATGAATCAACTAGGACTNAGCTTATCCCGGTTTCTGTAGCATGAAGCGACTAGGAGTATTCCTACTCCCCCCAGGATGGAATGCTAGTCTATCACAGTGTTACTCTAGCATTAAATTTGCCAGTACCCATTTATACACCTGAGCTGGGTGGAGAGTTTCAGGAGAGAGGCACTGTGAGAGTAAAGTGTCTTGCCCAAGAACACAACACTAGCAATGTCCTCAGCCAGGGCTTGAACTTGGACCACTCAATCCAGAGGCACTAACCAAGAGGCCACAGTGCATCCGCTATTAATATTGATTAGTACTAAATGGCAAATTGTTAGTCAACTAAAAACTGCAGGAAAGAATCCTGCAGTAGATTTGGACACTGTTCTTACGATGTTTCCACACGTTTCCGCTGAATTACTTACATGTATTAATACTCTCTACCCAGGGCTTATCTTAGGTTCATTCTATTATGGTTATATCGTCACACAGCTTCCAGGTGGTTGGTTAGGGTCACAGTTTGGCGGAAAGTACTTGTTTGGTTTTGGAGTACTTTTGACATCTGTGGTGACAATGTTTACTCCAGCCGCTGCACACCACAGTGTTGGAATGTTACTTCTGGTTAGAGTAGTGGAGGGTTTTGGACAGGTAAATGTTGTTGTGATCTTCTTTCAGTCTTGGTAATCAGTCCCATAAATCAAGAGTGTAATTAATCTTTCCCTGTTCAATCATTAGAGATGTGATCCACCTCAAAATTTTTTCCAAACAGGTGATACATTTCTCATCTGCAGAGATCTTAAGGTAACATGAAGTTCAGGGTCTACCAGTTCTTATTCAAAATTTCTGATGATCATCCTAAAAATAAACTGTCATTGTACATAATATTGTCACTTCCCGGGGCTCGCATTTCCACTCTATGCCTCTCTAAATATATACAGCCTCTGATAGCAAAATCTTTGCTCTACATTTCACCAAATAGTAGAGTTTTCACATTTAGATACTTTCCACTGTAAAATATATAAATATTGCTTGTAGCAATGATTTACTTTTTAGTTAGTAACAGAATTGCTCCCTCTAGGGAGTTGCATTTCCAGCCATGCATGCCATGTGGAGCAGCTGGGCCCCACCTTTAGAGAGAAGTAAACTTTGCACCCTTTCTTACGCAGGTAATGTGGTGCATACAGTTTGTTCAGTCAATAGTTTATTTGAAGTAATGCAAATTTCTTTTGAACTCATGGGGTAGTTTTCCCGTGTTTTGAGGTTTATAATTATTAAAAAATTAAAGACATTGATGAGTTTAACAGTCAAATCAATGACTGAGATCTATAACTTTTTGCACCATAAAATGCAATGACTGCCAAGCGAAATGAATGGTAAATCATAATATATGTTGAATTGTGA